GGGAGGGTTGCCGTTTACTTGTGGTGTGTACATATAATAATACCTGCTATTGCATTAAATATCGCTCATTGGTCACCGCTGACGGCTTATCCTTGAGGAATACACTTCTCAAAGTGCACTTGAAAAGTGTAATGATTTCACTTTAACCGAGCAATTAGAATGACGGCACAATTTATTGGCCACTGTTTAATTAGGAGATTTCAATCTAACCCTGACAATTATAATTAATAAATTATTGATGGTGGACTGTATTATTTTCATTTGGTTTCTGACCAATGCACATAATGACGTTTTTTCTGTTCATAACAAGCATCAACGCTATAAATAAATTCTATTTTAACGGTTTTCATAGAAAAAGACAAAACGACTGCCCTTCGAGTATCTTGTCCAGAAATACGACCGAAAACTTAGCCACTGTCAATGGCAATTTTGTCTTCATTGGAGCTGTCCAGTGGTTTTATTGACGTAAATCTCATAGCAATGCCAATAACGTTAATGGTCATGGTTAAAGGAATGAATCATTTGATGACAATGTAAATGTAATGTTGGGGGGGGGGGGGGGGGCGTGAGACCTGAGAGTCTGGGGCAGTACTACTGTATATATGCGACCTGCATAATGTGGCTTTTTGGTTTACTGATGGAGCAACGAACCAAAATAACAGTACAGTGCTGAGTGCACACAATCACGAGACAAAGCTGCCTTAGCGAGGGATAGTTCTTAAAAGCTTGAGCAACAAACAATAAAGCTGACAGAATTTTATTAGCAACTTCCTTTTCAGAAGTAATTAGAGCTATATGCCGGCAATTGTTATATAGTGAAAGCAACCGTGTCTCTGTTATAGAACTTGGTAGAAAATCAATTTAACTGTTCGGAAGCTGATCGCGTGAAATTTGAGACAGCTATAATTTGAGCATCGAATAGTGATTATAACTATCTTCAGGTTTCATAATACCATATACCATGGTAATGTCTGATTGCTGGTTTCGATGACGAAGCCACCTGAGAAAATGAAACACGACCTTTAACAGAGAGGCACAGTTAATCGAGACAGGAGAAGGCCCTTTCAAGATAGTGTAAACTGCAGACTGCTCGCATAGGTAAAAGTTGTTTCTTGACAAAAAGTCAACATCAAATATAATACATCATCTCTCCGTTATTAAGACTTCATAGCTTATAGCTACGATACACGTGCAAATTAAAAGGGAAATTACTAACCTATTCGATTAAATCCTGCCCTTCATGTTTCAGAATCTCACAATTCACGTGTCTAGTTATTTAATACTGATTGTAGCAGCTCCCTTAATGATCATAAAGCTGCCGATTATGCGACCTACCAGATCATTAAGTCGTTTGATATTGAAATTTTGAGCATTATAAAGAGGTAATCTATTGAATAATGAAGTATTATTAGTACTCGTTAGCTGCTGATGCAGATAACATATTAACGTAGTGAACTTATAGCAGACTCAGCTATAACAGACGGCGCCACTGCTCATCTTAGTAACTGGCTAGAGGTTAGTACTGTAATAATAAGTTGCCTCCCAACCTGTAGCTCACTGGCTTATCGAGCGGTACTAGACTACTAGCACCATAAATGTCAAGCAGGGAACACTCGTTACAAAATTTAAGGTTTACAAACGGCGAATGAAATGTACAGGAAAAAACGCGGACCGTCATGCCCCAAACTGTCAAATTATAAATACTGTTGATTAGATGGATTGTGTTAAACTGAGTAACTTGATGAGCAACAATAAGTTAAACAAGAAAATTATTAAGAGCCTCATTGATGCCTGTAGCTCTGTCCTACGGGGGACTGGGGAGAGATCGTACAGACAGAGCCTGGTAACAGTAGCTCTGTCTCACGGGGGAGAGATCGTACAGACAGAGCCTGGTAACAGTAGCTCTGTCCCACGGGGGAGAGATCGTACAGACAGAGCCTGGTATAACAGTAGCTCTGTCCAACGGGGGAGGGATCGTACAGACAGAGCCTGGTAACAGTAGCTCTGTCTTACGGGGGACTGGGGAGAGATCGTACAGACAGAGCCTGGTAACAGTAGCTCTGTCCAACGGGGGAGAGATCGTACCGACAGAGCCTGGTAACAGTAGCTCTGTCCCACGGGGGAGAGATCGTACAGACAGAGCCTGGTAACAGTAGCTCTGTCCCACGGGGGAGAGATCGTACAGACAGAGCCTGGTAACAGTAGCTCTGTCCCACGGGGGAGAGATCGTACAGACAGAGCCTGGTAACAGTAGCTCTGTCCCACGGGGGAGAGATCGTACAGACAGAGCCTGGTAACAGTAGCTCTGTCCCACGGGGGAGAGATTGTACAGACAGAGCCTGGTAACCGTAGCTCTGTCCTACGGGGGACTGGGGAGAGATCGTACAGACAGAGACTGGTAACAGTAACTCTGTCTCACGGGGGAGAGATCGTACAGACAGAGCCTGGTAACAGTAGCTCTGTCCCACGGGGGAGAGATCGTACAGACAGAGCCTGGTAACAGTAGCTCTGTCCAACGGGGGAGAGATCGTACAGACAGAGCCTGGTAACAGTAGCTCTGTCCCACGGGGGAGAGATCGTACAGACAGAGCCTGGTATAAACCGTAGCTCTGTCCAACGGGGGAGAGATCGTACAGACAGAGCCTGGTAACCGTAGCTCTGTCCCACGAGGAAGAGATCGTACAGACAGAGCCTGGTAACAGTAGCTCTGTCCCACGGGGAGAGATCGTACAGGCAGAGCACATGTACAATGAGTGGACAGTGGCCACCAGTCAATCTTATTACCATGGGGCACCAGCGGATGGGATTATGTGTTGCGTAATTCAATGATTAACCATTTCTGGGTACCTTTTATTTCACAGTTCCATACCAGGTTTATTCAGGCGTTTCACTTTCAGTCATGTCAGCTTAGGTCAATTCATTAACCCCACTCCAGAACCAGTAGCACTAGCAAGGGCAAGTAAATCTGGACATGAGCTGTGAATTTCGAGAAGAACTGCGTTACCTAACTATAACCTTTAACAAAATAAGTTGGAGATTCTTAGCAGAATCAGTAGAACAAAAGCAAGTTCGATTATAAAAATCATATCCGATGATTCGTATAAATATTGAATAACATATCGAGAAACCAGCTATAATCATTTTGTAAAGACAGTAAGCAATAAGTGTCAGAGTGTAAGCCGAGTTAATGAAAACAAAAGCAAGTGTACTAAACAGTAATTTCCGAACAGTAAACTGACATTTCGGACAATGGAATAATTAATCAAGTCTCACATTGAGTTTTTTCTCTCAGATCACTGTGGAAACACACGCTGATTCACACAATTACTAAAACCAGTTAAAGCTTGTCAGACGGCCGGGGCTCATGTACCGGCAGTAATTATTGTCTAATTAAGAAACCAAAGTGTTGAAATCACAATAATGTGTGTTTTTTCCTTGTAAGGAAACGAATTCTACACACAGTACACCGAAACAGGTGCATTCTCCGTGGAGTTTTTATTACATCTCAAGATACGAGGTTTAATACTTTTATTTAAATATTTATGAGTGGTAACTTTATAAACATGCAATATCATTTGAACTGAGGACACTCAATACTGGATACCGGATACTGGACACTGAATCTTTGAATCACAATTATGAGCTATCAGTTGACAGGGATAATGAATGATTGTCAACGTTGAATATTATGAGTCGTATATATATTATGCACTATTATATTTATATTCACAGCACGTCACTGCATCACAAGCGTAACTTTTTTGGCGTTGCCAAGTCGAATTAGAACAGTTGACTGTTAAATGTTAATTTATAGTCTATCTAATCTGTGCAGACTGCTCTTTATTTAGATTAATTGATAATCGTGGAATAAACGTTAATGTTATAATTCTGTTAATCATAATGTCATACAAATTATGTAATATGTAATCAAGTCACGCAATCAGAAAGTAAAATCGAATATTTAATTGTATTGAATCGGTAAAGATAATGGTTCATGGATCACGCTTCTTTCAAAAAAAATCAAGGACATCTTGACAGCTTAAGTTAGATTTTTAAAATATATTTAATTACAGGCTGTTGCAATGTCCTGTCCTAAAATGCTCAATAAAATGTTGAATTACTATTACTAAGTGAATTATACTACTAAAAACATAGTCACATTTTCTGGGTCTAAACGAATAAAATAGGCAAGAGTACTACAGCGTACGCTAAAGTGAAGAAGAACGAAATGACGATGACTCGCAGCCTGAATATGTCACCGTTGCGGTGCGGTTCAAATTCAATATGTCTGCTTCTGTTCTGTGTTACCACGTGACGATCCATTTCCTCGTTACTAGACTCCGAGGGATCAGTGTCGATGCTGTAGTTACTTCGGACCGTCCTGAGACTCTCCGCACTATGATTCCTTTTTAGTCTAACCATCTTCTGTTTGGAATACTCGGCCAATGAATTGTATTTCATTTTCAGTTGCCTCTTCACGCTAGATGGACTAGTAGATTTCATTACGCTGGATGTAGTGGATACGGACAGAAGAGACAAGTCATCGAGGGATTTTGACCGTCGTCTCCGTTTATTGAATAACCTTTTGAACTTCCCCATACTTTCTCACGTAACTGATCGAGACATGAGCTCTGAATGCAACCACTTTGACAAATTCATGGACTTTCACATAAGACATATTTCTGGTTGTCATGGTAACACTCACAAAGCACGTGAATTAACGTACACATTGGCCTTCTAAGTGACAAATACGACAAGATTCACCTTTCATTGACCACTGTTTACCCCCTAGTGTAAAACCATGCTTGCTTGCTTTCAACAGTCAAGCCTCCTGCCTCATAGCACAATCAAATTTTGCAGAAACGTGCAGCGCCAGCATGTGCGCGGCTGCTTTACGTTACACTAAATTTAAGCAATGAAAACTATCTGTATACTAATTTGATTCGACGTTCGCGCGTTCCATAATACGAATTCTCCATCGATATTCGAAAACAAACTACTTGAATAAAACGGTTTAAATTGTATGCATAAAAAACGATTAAACATTAAACCAGAAATATACCCTGAATTACTAAGGAACCATCCAAAGAATTAGCAGAAATCATATTGATCGTGGAATTAATACAATGTAGATTTATACTTTAACATCATCAGCATTTTTAGTCAACATTGATACGTTAACGGAAAATTAATGTTTACTATTGATAATATCTCTTAACATATTTGTCATGCAATTTTCCACCGTCGCTTAAGCAATATCATAGAGTCTCGTGTATCCTGATCTCAGAAGAGTTTAAAATCCTTGTTCGTCTTCGACATGTCGTCCACAAACCTGAAAGTATCGAATGTTAACGATATTTTATGAGAATACGACAACTGTTACTTGCGTGTGCGTGTGATTGTTAAGCATATTGAGTTTATTTTCACAGTATTTCGAACGGGCTTCAAAATTCTACGAGTTTTCATCGTTTACTGTTGCCCAGAAAGTAGCAGTAACATGTAAATGCGATAATAAGGTAAAAACTGAGAAACTGATAAACATTTTACAGAAATTCATTTCAGTAATTCAATATCGAGAGTAAGTAAATGAATAAATCTCGCTCAAATTTTGATCCCAAGCATTATTCCTCAGGATCATAAGTATTGATCTATTACATTAAAATTGGTTTCTAATTTGAAAGATTTCTACTTTAAACGATACGATAGGGACATGATAAAAGTAACGAAGTGCAAGCAACTACGCGCTCACTCTTGCCAAGAAACACTGTGCAGCATAAAATGCACTAATAAAAGGACAGCAGTAATCAAAGACATGCGGTTAGCGGTAACAAGAAATACACCCTAATTGAGCTGTTGATTTTCATTTAGTTAAATCATAAAAAAGTTCAAAGTTAGGTTCGACTTTGGCAAGGCCAGCTCATACTTGTGCTAACGAAATTAAGCCAAAAGTGGCTCACAGCTCCCGGTTCTGCATATAGGGATGCACTTTTGGGCCTAAGGGTACATTGCCTGCCTTGTAGACTAGCCCTGAAGCGTTGTAACACTGATTCTGTTCGTGAAGTTACTGATTCACTATACTAATCCCTGTAAATATAACTTCTTGTTGTGGGAACTATGTTGATGGAGAATTTTTGGAAGTGATTGTTGGTGAAGAAGTAGATAATTGGATTGGACCAAAATGAAAGGAACATCGTAAAAGTCACGAGACGCAGGATATAGTCAGTGTCAGCCCACAAAACAGTACCATGAATAAGGTAATAGATGAAGTACGGAAACACCGAAATCAAGAAGGATGCGGTTACTAGAAGGACTATCAGGACATTCTTCTTGTTTACTGGATTTCTCGTTTTATTGACTGCGTAGATCACTAGAAAAGTGTTCATAAGAATCAAAGTCAGACAAGGCAATCCATTCAGAAGTATAGTCGTAAGATAATCAAAATATAAATGCCAGCTTTTAGGAAATGCTGTACGGTTCGACCCACACATGCATTGAGCAATCGAGAAATCAACAATAAAGATACGCTCAACTATGGCTCCGTAGAAGAAGTAGAAAGGAAGTATCATCGCCACAATGATAGTGATAACTGTTATGAACCACCGCTGTTTTTTGGAGCAATCTAACAGGCATCTCATTATTTTATTGAACGCCAAGGTATTTATCAAGAATACGTTAGCCACACATCCTGTGTACTTGTAGATGAACATCGCCTTGCAGAAAGTGTCTCCAAAAACCCATCGATTGTTCGCATAGAGAGATATGATGAGTGATGACAGGAATCAAGATAAGGATATTGTTAGCGATAAGATCTGACACTGCCAAGTTCTGAATGATCCATACTAAGAGCTTGTCCAACTTGATAGCTTTGTGGTAAAATGTTGAGTAGATCACGAAGCTGTTTCCGAGAAGTCCCAGGAGTGAAGATGTGTGGCACCAGACTTGTGATAAAATGTTTGGTAGAGTCATATTTTCTACTGAAAAACAAATTCGTCACTGCTCAGCTTTAAGATAGAACACTGAATTTAGTGAACAATGAAAAACAATGAAACTAAGCTTTATTCAACGATACACAATACGAATTCTTGAAGTCGTTTATCTATTTATAATCCAATCTTACAACTCTTAAGTCTTAAGCCAGAAGTATTGTTTGACTGAAGTGAAGGCATGATAATCTAAAACAACTAGCAGCAACCCGTCTAACCCTTAAGTGGTGTCGAGACTTAAGAGACACCACTTGGGGTCCAAATTTTGGGCACTAAAATTTTTATTTCTTGGCAAATTTTTTATTTTTTCATGCTGATTTGAAGGCATTTAAGACATTTGACCCAGTCAAAAAAGTTTCAGTTTTAATTTTATATCTCTTACGGTTTTTGCGGAAAATCGTGTTAAAGTTGATGCCATGGTGTCAGTAAAATGGTACGGATATATATCGTTTCGCTTTATATATAATAAGATAGTAAAAGCAGTCTTCGGAAAACGAAGGAGCAGCGTTCTATTATCTGATGCTAATTTTTATGTTGCATTAAACGGGATCAATAGAAATTGACCCAAGTATATAGAGTCACAAATAAGACAATCAAAGTATGGGTGTATCGGGTGACCGACAACTTCACCCAATTTGACCTAGTTCCCACACAGTTAATACGGCACCCAATCAGCTTAAATGATTTTCATATCGTGGTGTCCCAGATAAGTGCTAGGCAAACTTTCGATCCAGGAGGTTTTGAAGAATTCTTACAGGACGGACGTAGGACGGATATAGGTACTAGCAGTATTGAGTTAAGACCTGTTACGCCCTCTGAAATCAGTAAAGTAGTAAAAAAATTCAAGAACAAAGCGACACTTGACACAAAAATTGAACCAATGAAGCTTGCAAGCTTAGATACGAAATTCACAAAAACGTTGGCCGTAATCATAAATTCTTCCTTTACTGAGGGAATATTTCCAAATGCTCTAAAATCGGCACGAGTTGTTCCGATACACAAAGGTGGCTCTAAAACAGAAGTTACTAATTACAGACCAATCTCTTTGCTAAGCTCTTTCTCGAAAATATACGAAAAACTTATGCATAGTCGAGTTCTTGAATTTTTAGACTTCAATGGATCACTTTTTGAAAGCCAGTACGGTTTTAGGCCTGGCATGTCATGTGAACACGCTTTACTTAATGCTCAAAATAGTATTCTACACTCTCTCAACAGTAAGCAAATTGCTGTGCTGCTTCTTCTTGACTACTCTAAAGCTTTTGACGTTATTGAACATCCTATACTACTAAAAAAACTGGAACATTACGGCATTAAAGGTTCAGCACTTAAATGGTTCGAGTCCTATCTGAGCGGCCGCCACCAATTCGTGACTGTCGGTGGAGAAGACTCGAGGCCCAAAGAAATCCAGTTTGGAGTACCCCAGGGGTCGATTTTGGGACCATTACTCTTTGTGATCTATATCAACGACCTTCCAAACATCACAAATTTAGCTAAGTTTATACTGTACGCAGACGATGCGAATATCATAGTTACTGGTTACACCGAGCAAGAGGTTCAGTTCAAACTAAATCAAATAACCTCGCTCCTGATCAAATGGGTTGATAGCAACGGACTTGCTCTCAATCTCAAAAAAACTCACTTTATGGTATTTAGCAATCATAGAACGACAACCCTTTCTAACATTAATGTTTCCATAGCTGGAGTAGTGATAGATCAAGTGACTGAGGCACGTTTCCTCGGAGTAATAATCGATGATAAATTAACGTGGAGCAAACACATACATGCCGTTAGGGCCAGGATGAATAGATACATGGGTATCATGTACAAAATTAAACGGCACTTACCGTTAAAAGTAAGGCTTCAAATTTATCACAGCTTTGTTCAATCCCACCTCAATTTCTGCTCCCTCGTTTGGGGTTTCGCAGCCAAATCACACATTGAGTCACTATTCACAAAACAGAAACAAGGTGTGAGAATGGTTATGCCAGGTTACGTCAACTATTTCTACAAGGACGGCCAATTGCCTGCACACACGAGGGATAGCTTTAAAGAGTATGGAATTCTCACTATTCATGGAATAATCGTGAAGAACGCACTTATATTAATGCACAGGATGAAATACTTCCCTGAAACAGTGCCAAAATCAATCAAAGGCCTTTTTCCAAGTAATATCCCGACAGTTAACTCCAGCCATGAGACTAGCTCTGACTGGCTTCTTACATACGGTAGTAACACTTTTAGACAATCAGTATTTTTTAAAGGTCCACTGCTTGCCATCACTGAAACAAACTTAAATATAACTTGTCTTCCCAGCTTATTTTCAATAAACATTTACAAGTCTAATGCAAAACGTGTGCTATTGGAACACCAATCAAGAGGCAACAACGAGGAAAGCTGGAAAACCTTTTTACTGAATAATATTCCAGGTTTAAGGAAATCTCAACGGTCACAAAATCACACACCCCACAACATAACTTAGTATTAGTAAACTATCATGAGGCACTCACTCAATAAACTTCTTAGTTACAAAAGCACTTCAAAACTAATAATTACCGACCACTTTTGAAATCGGAAAATTTTCACTGCCAGACCTGCTACTAGTTTACTGATAGTACTCCTGGCCATTGCTCAATTAAAGCCTTATCAGCACAACACGCACAATCACATATCATCAACGTAGCTGATCTCAACGCATCATAATAACAACCACGCGCACACACACCCACTTACCACTACACAGTACCACACAGAGCCCAGCAATCAATTCAAATATCGCCTAGCTGATTTTGATAGAATAACATCGTGATCCAGCGTGATGAATTGTTTTAATCTTAATTGAAGTTAAACGGCTGCACCCCTGACTTTTTAACTAAAAGACAAGAGACGTATATATTAGGACATTTGTAATCTGATAAAATTTAAAAGTTTTGGTGTGTGAATTAAAGCTTGGTGTGAGAATTAGTGTGGAAATAAAGAGATTCATTTTATTACATCATATATCTTAATTAAGTGACAGTAAGTATTATTATTTTAACTACAGCTTATATTATTTCAGTTAGTATTGACATGAATGTTACGATTTCAGTTTATTTATTATATATTATATTGTCAATAAACCGGTTTCAAAGCCCTTAAGGGTGGCCCTCGGGTCTTTAAAAAAAAAAAAAAAAAAAAAAAAAAGTGTTCAGTGAGAGCTAATTTTTAATCGGATGTATCTTCGGTTATGATGGATATTTGTTGATGCTATAAAAACTGATTACCAAAGAACCTATTAGCTGCCTCCCTGTGACCACGGGCTTTCTAGTCTATATCATAATTCAAAGAATTGTTTTTGTATGTATGAACGACCGCCCACGTGAAAATTAGATGAAAAATAGGAAGTTAGGCAAAAACCAAAAGGTTACATAGCTACGGTGTTGTAATGCACACGGCTGTATCTTTGGTTGGGATGGATATTTTTTGATACGATTAAAACTTTCTTTCAAAGAATACTACTAGCTTCATCTTTCTAGTCATTATTATAATTCAAAGAATTATCTTTGTATGCATGTATGTACGACCGCCCACGTGCAAATTAGGTAAACAAATACAAGTTGCATAGTAACCATAGTAACGATGTTTAACTTGCACGTGCAAAGATTGGCTACGACATTTTGATCGGTTTTGTGGTAATATGAACATAACTCAATGAAACAAGAAATTTAATTTTAGCACATTTTAGAGAATAAAAAGATGTAAAACTAAACATAACGAAACCTCAGGCACCTATATATATATATCGGTTGTAAAGTGATTGCATGACACAGTATTATTATTATATCAGGTCTCAATAAGAGGTCTCGACTGCCTAGGCATCAAACCTTGGCAATCGGTAATTTTCCTCTGGCCCGGAGTCAGCTGACCCTAGGGACCAGAGGATAAAGGCGTAGAGACTGTGTGTATCTACAAAAGTGGTTGTTTTTACAAGAGACAGGACTTGCAACACAAGGGAAGAAAAACGGGAGAAACAAACACAAAATGCATATTAAATGACTTAGCAAATAGAAATTCAAACAATCCTACACTACAATAAATGTTTATTACATAATTATAATATGTTGTATTTATACAACATATTATAATTATGTAATAAACATTGTTGTTTATAAACAAGAAACAGGGCTTGCAGGGCAAGAGATGGGACACATAAGAGCTGGCCACAGAGTGTATAATACAGTAATTCAGCAAACACCTATTACTAATACTGAAAACTTAATCACAAATTATCACAATTTATTATTATTATTATTAAACGTGGGCAATAACATACGCTTTATAAATTATATAAACAAATTCAAGTCTATTTTTCCGATTTTGCTAACTTTTTCTTTAGATCTGACACAGTAAGTCGTGGTAAAAATATAATTTTTCACAAAATTGCATTTCTCCAAACTTTTGGTTGAAAAATCAAACGACATGAGAGTCGATACAGCAAAGCTTTTGACCGCGCTGATGGAATCAGTTGGACGGCAAACTTACACTGATAGTTTCGGGAAAACTTACACTGATAAAAACCCATTTTAACAGCGTGAATATTTATCAAATACAAGCGCGCTAGCTGCTAGCATACTTGTATCATTTAATTTTAAATCAAATTTATTCGGATATATATTTATTGATTATGTATTGAATTGGTGATAAATAATTTTTTTTAAAATTGTCTTTTCTCGATAGTTTCGGAAAAAGATCATTCCTAATATAACTTTCTCGATTTGTTATTACTCAAAAATGCACCCAGAGAGGACAAACAGACTTCAATGAGTATACCTTGTGTTAATGTGTTTTTGATTTTATGACATTAATTTTGCTGACCTGGTCATCTCACTGTTGACGTGGGAGTGTCGGGCACATCTCGCCCAATCAGGTGGCGTCTTACTGTCCTTCTGCCACCACCCATGTAACAATACTGATCCACTTAGATTTCTAAGTTCGCATTTAACGTCAGGCCATATGATGTTGGGTGTACCCCTGTCACCTTCCCAATAAATCGTTCCCTCTCCGGTTTGGTTAAAAGTTTTTTGAACTTGTAAGTTCTATCATCTGGAAGTTAACCATACCCTGTATGTGATTGGTGCTTATCTATCCTTTCCTTTCGCATCTGGTCGATGAATATCTGCATTCCATTTTACAGTCAGCGTGGAATCTTCTGGACGTTTTATTGATGCGGATCCGGCTACCATCATAAGCAGGATGGTTTAGGACTTCTGGTTCTGTTGAAGCTCTTGTTGCATTTATGTCAGGCCAAATGATGTTGGTAGTACCCCTGTCACCATCCCAATATATCGACTCCCTCCTCCGGGGTTAAAAATTGAAACTTGTTAAGTTCTATCATCTGGGAAGTTACATACCCTGTATTGGAATGGTGCCCTTGATCATCTTTCCTTTCGATCGGTCGATGAATATCTGTTTCCTTTTTACTGTCAGCGTGGTTCTTCATGGACGTTTATTGGGGGATGCGGACCGCTACATCAAATTGCTGTGAAGGATTAGGTTCTGGTTTATGGTGAAGCTCTTGTTTGCATTTAACGTCGTAGGCCAACTGATGTTGGTAAGTACCCCTTGTCACCTCCCAATAAATCGTGCCCTCCTCCGGGTAAAAGTTGAACTTGTAAGTTTCTATCATCTGGGAAGTTAACATACCCTCGTATGTGGAATGGTTTGCCTTGATCATCTTTCCTTTTCGCATCTGGTCTGATGAATATCTGCAATCCTTTTACAGCAGCGTGGTATCTTCATGGACGGTATATTTGATGCGGATCCGGATACATATAATTGCAAGGGATGTTTAGGTTCTGGTTCTGGTTGGAAGCTCTTGTTTGCATTTATTACGTTCAGGCCAAATGAGGTTGGTAGTTCCCTGTCACCATCCCAATTAAAATGTCTCTCGGGTAATAGTTAACTTTGTAAGAGTTCTATCATCTGGGAATTTAACATCCTGTTTATGTGGAATGGTGCCTTGCTCTATCTTTTCCTACGCATCTGGTCGATGAATATCTGATTCCATTTTACAGTCAGCGTGGATCTTCATGGACGTTTATTGATGCGGATGCCGGCTCCATCAAAATTACAGGAAGGTTTAGTTCTAGGTACTTGGTTCCAATGAACGCCGCATGATTTCAGCTTTTTTCTCGATCTTCGGGGCAATCTTTTAACTTCTTCTTCTGGAGAACGATGTCCCCCACACCATCCCACAAAAATCCCAAGAATCTTGTTAAGACCATAAGATACATGTTCTTCGCTCTTTACTTTCACTTTTAAGCGTCGATAAACAGTCAAAATCCCCATTCACTTCCCCTCTAAAATCCCACCTCCAATACTCCATCAATAAAAACCACTAATCTCGACATCTCTACCCCCCCCCCCCCCCACCCACCCCCCCCCCCCCCCCCCCCCCCCCCCCCCACCCCACCCCCCCCCCCCCCCCCCCCCCCCCCCCCCCCCCCCCCCCCCCCCCCCCCCCCCCCCCCCCCCCCCCCCCCCCCCCCCCCCCCCCCCCACCCCCCCCCCCCCCCCACCCCCCCCCCCCCCCCCCCCCCCCCCCCCCCCCCCCCCCCCCCCCCCCCCCCCCCCCCCCCCCCCCCCCCCCCCCCCCCCCCCCCCCCCCCCCCCCCCCCCCCCCCCCCCCCCCCCCCCCCCCCCCCCCCCCCCCCCCCCCCCCCCCCCCCCCCCCCCCCCCCCCCCCCCCCCCCCCCACCCCCCCCCCCCCCCCCCCCCCCCCCCCCCCCCCCCCCCCCCCCCCCCCCCCCCCCCCCCCCCCCCCCCCCCCCCCCCCCCCCCCCCCGATGACCCCCAAACCCCCCCACATCCCCCCCCTCACCCCCACCCCCCCCCCCCCCCCCCCTCCCCCCCCCCCCCCCCCCCCCCCCCCCCATCCCCAGAACCCCCCACAACCCCCCCACACCCCCCCCCCCCTCCCAAATTTTAATTGTTGATGTCGCTTTAATCCTGGCCAAACATTGTAAATATGTTCAGTTACTCCATTGCCCAATCGTTGTAAAGATGTGAACTCAGTTATTACCCTGGAACTATAGTTTATTTGTCCCCTCTTGAGCTTAGAATTTGTTAACGGTAAATTAATTTTTTTACTATCGGGTAAACATTACTGGAGTTACCGTTAGTATCGACGTACTCTTAAATAACCATGGCACTCCTGACCAACATGAAAAGTGCCAGGTACTCCTTGTTATTCGTACGTTGATATTTATATAATAAAGTACATCATTATTCCTTAAATACCATACTAACTAACTTAATCCATTCTAGGAATAATGATGTGATCATGGAGGATATTCGTTACCGACGTTTGGTGGTTGCTCTACGGTGGACCAGGTGCTATGCCACGGCAGTTGCAGTTGTATGTTGTGGACTTGTGTTAGGAGTCGTTGTTCTTCGGTTGTGACAAGTGTGTGTACTATTGGTGAGAAGATAGATTCCGTTGCAGTGTACGGTCGGTGTGACCAGTGTGTGTACTATCGGTCTTGTGAAAAGATAGTTACAGTTGTTCGGTCGGTGTGACAGTGTGGATAACGGTGAATCATAATTCAAATTGGATTGTACTGAAGAAAGATTCCAGAACGAAGAACTTCAGAGAAGAACTCCACAGATTCAACAGACGGACAAGTGATAGTGTCGGGGTATTGTAGAGATCTCAACAGAAGACAAGTAATAGTGTCGGTGTATTGTAGTAGAGAAGTTACATTGAATTGATTGTGTTTTGGGTCTTATATAATTGAAGTGATTGAGTTATATATATATTGAAGTACTATTTACCTTTGTTAGTACATGGCAGTGCGAGTGCGTAGTGGAGTGTGTTAGTTTGGAAGCAATTGAATAGGGAAAGATTCACTTAGTACATTATTGTGTATTCTCTCATATCAGTGATCAAGTAGATAGTATTGTGTTTATTCTAAATCTAATTATTCCAGTTTTATAATTTCGTGTTTATCTTATTATCATTGGTAGCAGGTAAAGAAAAGATTAAAGCCATGAGGAGACCAACCACCTTTGTTGAAGAGGGGATGGATTACTGAAGGGAAAGTGGAAGTCGGATTATCTGGGGTTGGGAACTTTCAATAGCAGCTGTAAGCAGGCAGCGGTTGTGTGTCTTGAGAATCAGGATTTCAAGGCAAGAGATTTTGCAACACCGCTTAGATGTGGCAGAGCCAAGAAAGAAACTGGAACGGTTTTAAACGTACCTGATGAAAGAGCATTGATACGTATTTTAAAGAGGATAATTACTCAGAGTATTATATTTCTAGGTCTTGATGATCTAGAAAGTTTGTTAGACCAGGGAAACATATGCAAATGGCAGAATATATCGCTGAGTTCAGGAGACGATTTGTTTTGAACCGGATCGAGGAGAGTTGTTTAATGACGAGAAAGAAATTTATCATGATAGTATGTTGGCATACAGGTTGGTTAACTCAGGCAAACTGACCCAAGATCAAACGATAGTGATCAAAGCTTGCAATGGGGACTCAAAGACGTTGACAAGTAATGCATTTGAGAATGTTTGATGAGGTGTTTCGGTGACGCTGTTTTCTGTCGTAGATCAAGATTGGAGTTAGGACACAGTGAAGATTAAGGTAGAACCTGGATTTGGCTGTGCATTTACCATAGGGGTAGTTTGATGAAAAGGATACTGATATCAGTGGGTGATACACGAGAATATTACATTCTATCAAGGTTACAATAATCGAGGCGAGGAGGTAGGAATCATTTCTCGTCGGGCGGTTTATACAATTACTCCAAGGGCAGAGGGGAATCTGGAAATTTACAAGGCAAACATGGGAAAAGAGACAAACAGCGTAATTCAAAGAAAGGGGAAATCTCGGAAATTAAGCAAACCATGGAAAGAGACAAACAGCTTAATTCAAAAGTAAATGAAAAACTCAGACTATAAAGATGAGTTAAATGTATCTGTCACAAAACAGGCGATGTAGCAAGATGTTTCCATTTGTGATTCGGAATAAGCATTTCCGTTGCAGATTGCGCATCTTTAAGCCCAAGAAGGAAGGATTCGTGTCAGTCGTGTATTGTATCAGTCGTGCAGGTGATGGTAAAAGAGTCAAACAGATTGACAATGACTATGTGGAACAGTGCTGTTAGTCACATGAAACATTCACAGGTTTGATAGACACTGGGGGCAACCAGAGTAATGTTATGTGGTGATGTTTGGGTTTGAACACATTCTTGAGTCAATGCCTGAAGAGTTAAAGAAAAAGGTCTGAGAAAGTCGAGAAAAACATGAGTTTTGTTTTTTTGGAGACGGACGCACGCGGGTGATCTATTCAAATGAGTTTGTTACCGTTAAGTTGTGTAACAGGGATTTAATGTTAGAAGACATTTGTGGTTCCTGGAGAAATTACATTTTGTTTTCTAGATGTTGCATGAAGATATGGGGGGTATATTAGTCATAGAGAATGACAAGATATTAGATTGGTGGAGAACCTCAAAAACTGAAAGTGACAAATCAGGTCATTATTGTGGCAGATATTCATGTTTATGGGAAAAGATGAATCAAGAAGTAATGATAATCCTTATCGCTGAAAGTTCAAAATTCCAAGAATGCAGCAGCTATAATACTTCATAGATATTTTGGACATCCAAGTCAACTTAGACCTGATAGATTATGTGTAACTAGATAAGTATTTACAGCAAGGAGCTGAAAACTGAGATAGAAAAGCTAAGATACAGAATGCGAACATTGTGTACTGTTACCCAGAAGAATCCAGCTCGACGAAATCATCATTACAATAGCGAAATGATGTAAAATCATGTATGGCTAATGGGAACTTTAAGGAAAGTTATCAAAAACTGGCCATACTATGCTGGCACATGTTAGATGTGTCTTCGAGATTCTCATGTCGAGAATTGTAAAAGAATAAACATAGAGTA